CATTTCATATGTTTAGTTGTGGAATAGGTTTTCATTCCAATAGAATGACCATTCACATTTTAAATTGCATACCAAACAAATGAATGGTTGGAATTGGCATTCCATTCCATTCATGCACACCGAATACAACATAAAGGTATTCGAACCCCTAACTTCCAAGATGTGAGGTGAGGGTATGTTTTTGCCATTATGCTTATTCCATTGTGGTTCATTTGAATTTAGTAGACGTGAATTGGTAATATAACATCCAAAATAGGGTGCTATCACGTAGAGCCTTAAAGTATGTGTGTGTGGGTGCGCGCGCGCATTACGGGTGCACACGATCCAGTTTGGACCGGATTGGGAGTATTTTGGGACCAAACCATTTATAACGGTTCCACTATTTTTGAAACCTGACCGAACCATAATGTCCATGGAACCAAACCGAACCAAAATCGTGAAAAACAGGTTTGGTTAGGTTCAGTTTGTTGGTTTCAGTTGATTTTTATTTTTATTTTATTTTAACTTAAAGGGGGCAAAGTTGAAAAAAAGAAAAAAAAAAAAATATATTAACTAACATTGGTATAACACGCCAAAAAAAAAATAATAATAATAATAATAATAAATAAATTTAAAGAATTTAAAGAACAAAAGAAAGAAAGAGGGCACGTGAGAACTTTACTCGATTTAGGTTTAGGATATGATATACATATATATAAATAGTATATAACATAGTAAAGGTTCGGTCCAGGCCGGTCCGGTTCAACAAGACCTTAAACTAGGACTGGACCAAAAAATTACGGTTCCATAATTTTAGGTGTAGGACCGGACCAAACCGTTATACAACTAGCCCAAATCACCCAATTCAGTATGGCCCAGTCCGATTTTTCGATTTACCAGATTTTTTGAACACCCCTAACACGCATGAAGGGGCATATATAAAATCATTGTAATTTTATTTTTATTTTGGCATTTTAATATATATATTGTTAAAAACGTGTTTATAATTTTAAATTTTTTATGTATATTGTTAAAAACGTGTTTATAAATAATTTGCGAAGAAAACTAAATAGAAGAGTTGTTGGGTGAATCATTTTTTTCCCTCTCTAATTAATAACAAATAATATTTATGTATTTGTGTGTGTATATATAGTATGTTATTATAAGGATTATTATAATAATTAATAATTTTCTTTACTAAATTTAATTGGTTCATTGGATTTGAACGGGTTACAGTTAATTTCATTTGTAAACCACCTTTAATAAATCATACGAGATCCATTAATAGAATTTTTTTTTAACAAATTAGAGAGGCAACTTTAATTTTTATATAGAAAACCACCGTTTGTAACTATAATTTAGCATAAATAGAGTGTTACAAAAAAATTTGGGGCAGCTTTAATTATTATGTACAAAATCACTATAAATAATTTATTTAGTACTATTAAAAAAAAAATTGCAAAAATTTTTGGCCTCATGCTATTCATGTATGGATGTATTGTGAAGTATGTATATATGTGCGTGTGTATATCAGTAAGTATATATATATATATAGGAGTAGTGATCTCTTGCTCATTGCGAAACAAGAAAATTTTTCCGCACTTTTTATTGCAACAATTAGATTATATCTAACGATCACATTCCAAACTCACATATATGCTTTTTAATACAAAACCACTATCACTATATCTAGTTTTCAAATTTAATATTTACCAATATCACTAATTACAACAATAAAAGGTAAATACCAAAAACATAAAAATAGAAATCTCAAAATCATGTCTTCCAGATTTTTGTTTTCTTTACAAAAATAAATAAATAAGTGTTAGAAAATTGCATCCATGACTTGATACAAAAGTTGATATTTCCTATTTCTTTGAGTGTGAAAAAGAAATTAAAAATTACACTATTGACATAAGAAACATAGACTTAAAAATAATAAAAAATTAAAAATAAATTTCTATTTTATTATCCACTTGATCAACTCAAGATAACTGTGATTTGTACAACACTTCACCTATAAGAAAATTAATATATTACAATTTAAATTGTTGTATAGGTCACTAAATGCATGCTATTTAAAAATAAACAATTTAATTATCTATTTTTCTCTAACCCCTTTGTCACAAATTGTCTCCTCTTCTATATTAATTTTGTTATATATATTTTCAGATTCTAACTAGTCGTAAACACATTTGAGTATTTTAGTGTCATAATAAGTAGTACAATATCTTGTTTCTATTTCTGCTATAATAACAAAAATTTATTGACGTAATGAGGAGATTCACCAGAAAACATGCTATTATTTTATGAAATTTCATATTTCTTTTGTAAATTAGTTATTTTTCTTAATATTTTCTTTAATATTGCTATTATTATACTATCATCAAATTTTTATTTATTTATTTATTTTTTTAGTAAGTAAAAAAAGTATGAAAGACAACTAATTAGTATGTCAAGTTACAACAAAGACATCAATTCACCACTATTATTACATGATAGCTCCATTTCGGTTTGATCACAAACCAATTGCAGGAGACAACAAATTGAAAGATTTTATCATGCCTATTAGGTTTTGAGGTACCAGTCATCAACTCTAGCATAAGAACAAAAATGCTTTGAATCATTAAATGAATCTAGACTTTGAAAGAAAAGAATGCTGTTTCTAAAGACATTATTTCTTGTCTTTCTATAGAGGAGAGGCTAAATGAGGACATCTCCATGTCTTGAAGTTTTGCAATTTCTTTTTTCTCACTCAAAAGAATAGGCAATATCAAATTTAGTATTAAGTGATGTATGCAATTTTCTAACACCTTTTTTTTTTTTTTTTTTTTGTCCCCAAAAAAACAAAAATTTCTTTTAGTGGTGAGATGTGATTTTCAGGAAACTATTTATACTTTTTATGGTACTTACCTTTTATTGTTGTAATTAGTTGTATTAGTAAATATTAAATTTGAAAACTATAAATAGTGATAGTGGTTTTGTATTAAAAGGAAAGTTATATAGGTGGGTTTGGAACGTGACCATCAGATTTAATCTAATGGTTGCTATAGAAAGTGCAGAAAAATTTTGTTGTTTCATGAGGAGCAAGTGATCACTACTCATATATATTTATATATATAAGATGCATATATGTTTTAATTTTATTTATTCCTTTTCATGTCAAAGAATTTTATATATTCCTTATTAGTGAGAAGTTATAACTTGTTTTGAAGGATTTTGAGATGATCATACTTGATGCCATGTACATCATTGGAACCCAGATTTACCTGTTTTAAATTTGTAGCCTTGTTTTCTTGTTGTCGTTCGTTGTATACACATAATTTCTTGTGGTGCTTTGCTCATTGATTTCTAGGCTTTGCTTTAACTAATTATAATTTTACCTAAACATAAATTAATGTACAAAAATGAAATTAAGAAAAAACATTTAACTATTTCATTTGCGCCTAATCCGTTACATCCTTTTTTTTTTTTACCTTCCACACACACAAAAATAAATAAATAAGGTGTATATTTGTCCCAAAATGTTGAATTTTGATATCACTTTTATTTCATGTGACCAAGCTTGGATTCATTGTTTTAGGTTTATTTTTTTACTACGTGGGACTTGGTCTAGCTTCACCACTATTAGTTTAGAGTGTTGGACCGACTTGAATTTATCCAAGTTCAATAATACGTCTTGAAAGTGGAAGTCTAATAACAGCAACAAAACTATGCTAATCATTAATTTAATTTTATTTTTTAAGTATCATTAAACTTATTTTTGAGAGAGGTAATAATAAGTTTAATTATCACCAATGATTAAATTTTGTAGTTTAGTGTTACTTTCTGATCTTCTAAAATAGAATGTTAAGGAAAAAAATATATATATTGTTAATGCAAAATTTTGCACAATTCAAATCCGGGACCTTTCTTGCAAGACGAGAGGTCCCCATCCCCGACAGAAAAGTCCTTTACTCTTCATTTTTCCTCTCTTAATCAATTACTAACTTGACGATATTATTATTGATTTTAGTTTTAATTTTTATTTATTTATTTTTATCTTGGCACACCTCTAGTAAATTTCTAACACCACACTAGATTCAGATAGAAAATGTCATAGACTACTATGACGACATACAACATTATCAAACCGTTTAAGTTTTTGATTTAAAAGAACAATTTGTTATAAATAGTATGAGATTACCAATAACATAAGCCAGTGTTTTTTTTTTAAAATATATTTATTCATTGCTTTTCGGGGACCAAATTAACATGTGATTTTTTTTTTTTTTTAGTTAACTCCGGATGTCCGGGATGGTACAAACCATTAGGGCCCTTCAACAATCCAACTAATCTCTGAGGATCCGGAAGGGCACCTCTCCACCCGGGTCAGGTATGTCATTGCAGGAGTAGCGGAGATTAGTCACAAAGAACATCTAACGAGACTTGAACATCATAAGTGGATAAATTAAGATGTGATTGTTCTAACAGGAATAATGCTATCTAAATAAATTTTCACTTTTTTATACATGGCATTATGACAATCATCTATGCTATCTATATAAATTACTTTTGTTAATTCATTTACAAAAGTAAGCTGGGACAATAAACTTTAAAAACTCTTCTTTGAGTTCTCTAACAACAAAAACTAAATCGACTTTAGTTTCACGCTCTCCATTTTTAGTAGGTGAGTCAACCTTCCAGGAAAAAAAAAAAAAAATCCAGAAATTAATTTTGTAAACTTCAGTGTGCCAAGAAAGTAAAAGAAAAATCAAAAAAAATTATTTTAAAAGTTTATCATCTATCCCTCTGGCAAATAAATGTGGGTTTTCCATATATAAAATTCTTGACTGATTTATAAGTAAAATATTGTTGAATCTAAATAAATTGAGAGTCTTAATGAAGTTGACTTAGATATATAATGAAATTCATACTCAAGAGCTCAAGATTAGACCTTAGTCAAGCTATGTCATACTGTAAAATGACAAACCATAAAGATGAAACATATTCAAGCAAACATTTACCTATTTCTTACCATCTTAATTATAAGAACGCAATGTGTATATAGTCTGCAGCAAGGTGAGGACAAAAATGGAAATGGCAGCAAGGACTGATATGCCTGTCCATGGATTACCAAAATAGTCACGTCTAAGTTTCGCTAGACATCTTGGCCAGAAACGATTGCAGTAACCAGTCACCTGACTGCATGTCTCAGTGAAGTAGAAACTACCTACATAAACATTCTTGCAGACATTGTTGTAGAGACGCGCCACCTCTTCGCTTGAACCCAAATAGTTATGTATCACTCCTGCTTCTATAAGCAGATCAACTTCCTTTGTGGTGTTGATGAGTTTATTAATGAGAAAAGCATGAGATGTGAAATGACGTTTACGGACAGGAGAAAATTGCTCGAAAGCTATGAGATTGCTCAAGAATGTTTGGTAAGGTGGGATTTCAAAGCAACTACTTCTAAACACCTGGAAACAAGAATGATCGGTATAGAAGTTCACGTTGAATAGGTTCATTTCAAAACCTGCAGGCTTAAACTTGACTCCTGCCAAGTCAAGTTGTGTTGCAGAATATTTGAGTTTGATTTGTTCCGTGCCCAAGGATGAATCATCATTCCAAGGCACGTAGCAACTGTGTAAGAAACTGAGGATGTGAAGGGGCATTATTTCAAGATCCAATTTGGGTATTCCTGGTAAGCCCATCATAGCTTTAAAGAATAAGAAGATACACTCCCTAAGAGAAAATTGGTCGATGGTTTTCACTGTCAGGCTAAACAATTTATCAAGAATAAAGAAGGGAATCTGGTTCTCCAGTCGTATCAAGTCATGTTGGACGGCAGACTTCATGGAATAATTGTCTAAGATGGAGTCAATGATCATGTGGGTACTAGTACTACGTTTGTAGTTCTTGTATAGAAGTTCAATTATGAAGCAACCATCAACAAGTATCATTTCTAATAACTTGACCTTTGCTGCTTCCTCATTTTCATCTACAATATTTAAACCAGCATACCGTTTTCGTACCTCAGATTCCATCTCAAACATAGCATTCACGCAATTTTCTCGCGTCTGCTTATGATTTTGGCATCTGAAAAATAGGCGCTGCATGTAGCTATATTTTTCATTCTCCATTCCTTGCGTGTGTTTCCCCTCTCTGTGAAGAGGGCAATGGACACGACACTGGGGGTATAGGCACGTTCATTGAGTTCACGAATCTCAACTGGAATCCTATATATAAGTGAGTTCCAAGGAAGCCCGTGGTTCTCATGGGCCTCGAACTTATGCCAGGCGCATTGGATCTTCATGTCTAGGGACTCCAAAAGCTGAGACCTTGTCCGTTGGCTTGAAGAACTTCCTTGGTCTGCCATCAGCCAAATCAGAGGAGGTAATGCTTTCAAGTGCTTTGTTACTGATATCAAGCAACTTTAATTAATTACGGTGACCAGAATAGAATTGTGAGAACAAATTCCAACACCTCAATTTTTTTTCCCTCAACTCTTGTTCACACATTAGACAAATATGAATAATTGTAGGACAGAGGCAACTTAATTCCTATAGTATCTTATTTTATTTATTTATTTATTTATTTATTGTTATTTTTATATTTGAATACATATCTAACAAAGAACAAATTCAAGAGAAATGGAAGAATGCTTGAGCACAGACTGGCAGATGAAAACATTCTTTCTGGTTAAGGCAGCAAATGAAGGCATGAAATGTTAAAATAATATAGCTCAAAATTAAGTTGGCAACTTGCACCAGCTTAATAATCCTTGGAGAACAAGTATTCATACCCTAGTTGTAATCTCCAGCTCACCATTGGAACTTGGGATGTACAGGAAGTTGATTCATTTAAGATTGCTCAATAAGCTGATTTCTTTAGTCAACAATTGCTACATACTTTGTATCAATGATGACATCTCGCTATTTCAAGCAAACATTTAAGAAAGCATACACAAGAGCTCAACATTAGAGCTTAGTCAAGGTATGTCAAAATGAAAAATGGCAAACCATAAAGATTATACATATTCAATCAAACATTTACCTATTTCTTACCATCTTAATTATATGAACGCAAGGTGTATATAGTCTGCAGCAAGGTGACCAAAAAATGGAAATGGCAGCAAGGACTGATATGTCTGTCCATGGAATCATGGATTACCAAAATAGTAGTGTTTAAGTTTTGCTAGACATCTTGTCCAGAAACGATTGCAGTAATCGGTCACCTGATTGCATGGTCTCAGTGAAGTAGAAACTACCAACATAAACATTCTTGCAGACGTTGTTGTATATAGACGCGGCACTTCTTCGCTTGATCCCAAATAGTTATGGATTTGAAGATGCAATAATTTGCTCTCGATATTCAGAAAGTAAATTTGTTACACTTCAATCGAATCCTTTTACATATCTTTCCTATTTCTATTTATAGAAGTCTCTCCTTACCCTAATAACTTATTGGGCCTTTCCAAACCCTAAAATAATATGGGCTTAGTCCTTCCTCAATAGGCTCCTCCTTCGCTTGGGCCGATTCCTAGGTCAAAACAAGCCTCGCATGAGAAAGAATGGGCTGGGAGGTTGCTGGGCTTCCTTCTTAACTGGCGGGCTGCGCTGGACTTGGCCAGTGGGATTTTATGCCCCTTCATCTTGCCCCTACAGTTGTCCCTCATTTATGAGGGATAGTTATAATCAATCAAGTCCTAGGGTCATAGTTGCGCAGTTATTGGCGCAAAACCTGCTCGAATTTTGCACTGCCATCATTACTTGACTTCTGGGCTTCTCAATCGCAGTTACACTTTTGTCTTTATATACTTTCCCCTTTGCTTTGTACATTTTTCTCTGCTTCTTGTGTACTTTACTTTGACTGAATTAGTTTTTACATTCATAAACCGTTGTTCCTTTTTCTCCATCGACTCCCGTTCTATATCGATCCTTGCAGGTGTGGTTTCGTCTCCCTCCTTAGCGAGGTTAGTTGTGTTTTCCATTCTTTTACTTCTGGGTTTCAGGGGAATTTTTTCACCATGTCTGTCGATCTTGATGCCCTTCGCAAGGCTGTCAGATCTCAAGTGATATCGAACTTAAACTTTATCCCAATAATTCCGATTATGAGGTTGATGAGGATTTTTCAGATGGGGAGATGTTTTTTTCTTCTTTACACTTAGAAGTCCACAGATTTCCTTTGCACCCTTTGTATGCTCTTACTTTAAACAAAACAAATCTTGCACCCTTGCAAGTCAATCCAAACTTTTTTAGGATTATCACTGTTTTGCTAGCCCTAAATCAAAGTCGAGAATTGGACTTCTCCATTGTTGATCTGTTCTTCTGCTATAAAATAGCAAAAATTAGATACACGGGCCAATCGGGAAAATCTGATTACAGATATCACTTTTTCCCGATCCCCAAATGATCCTTTTGTATAGGCAATCCTGGTTCTCAAAAAACCTAGAGGGATCTGATGGTAATTGTGGGGGGAAACTGGAGATGCCCCAACTCTGCCACTAACCCCACCAGCTTTGGGAAGTGTGTGCTTCCTTCCTACCTTAGACATAAACCACATAAGTACGAGTGTGTGTGTGCGAACACTATCTTCCTCGCTTTTATAAGTTCATTTGTCGCTTTTTAGGCACTCCTTATACGCTTCTTGACTATTCGATCTGCTTGGGCAGGCTCAGGTACCTCAAGCAGAACGTGTGGAATAACATCCCTTCTAGTTCGTCTTTATTAACTTTAGAACGTCTTTCAGGTACTTCAGTTACTGTGACAGGGGGTTGTTCATTGATCTTCCCGGATTTTACGTCAATTCGGTTGCTGATCAGGCCGAGGGGATTTTCTAGGAGTGCGTTGCTGCCTTGGCTGAACTCCTTCCTCCTCTTCCCATTCTCCCGGCAACTCAGGCGGAAGAAGTGGCTGATTCGGCTTCTCAAGGCGAGGTTGGGGCTTCTGGTGGAAAAATCACTAATCTAACCGTTGACCCTGCCACAATCGCAACCGAGGAGAAGCCCATTGATCTTGACTCCTCCACTCCTGATGCAAAAACCCAGGAATAAGAGGAAGGAGTACTCTAGATTACTTTGTAAAATAATTCATATATATATATATATATTTTTTTTTCTGTTTCCTTTGATTTGGGAAGGAAACAATCAATGTAATGGGATCACCCTTTCTTCTTCTTTTATCAATATAAAGATAACATCTTTCATTCTTTCCGTTTTTCTCATAAGTGCTTGGCATTCGGTTCACAAATATCACTTGCATGAACTTGTACAAGTACACTGCATTTGGCCTTTAGTGCTGCTCGTCTTTCACCTGCAATTTTTGTTTGAATTCCTAAAGTGTTAGGCGATCGGCTAATGATGCCACTTGCCTCTTTCACTTAGAACTTTTGTTTGAATTCCTTAAGTGTTAGGGGATGGGCTTATGATGCCACTTGTCTCTTCCTTATGTGTTAGGTGATCGGCTTATGATGCCACTTGTCTCTTTCACTTGGAATTTTTGTTTGAATTCCTTAAGTGTTAGACGATCGACTAATAATGCTACTTGGCTATTTCACTTGGAACTTTTGTTTATATTCCTTAAGTGTTAGGCGATCATCTCATGATGCCACTAGCCTTTTTCACTGGGAACTTTTGTTTGAATTCCTTACGTGTTAGGCGATCGACTCATGATGCCACTTGCCTCTTTCACTTGGAACTTTTGTTTGAATTCCTTAAGTGTTAGGCGATTGGTTCATGATTCCATTTGCCTCTTTCACTTTGAATTTTTGTTTAAATTCCTTAAGTGTTAGGTGATCGTCTCATGATGCCACTTGCCTCTTTCACTTGAAATTTTTGTTTGAATTCCTTAGGAGATCAGCTTGTGATGCCACTTGCCTCTTTCACTTGGAACTTTTGTTTAAATTCCTTAAGTGTTAGGCGATCGGCTTATGATGCCAGTTGCCTCTTTCACTTGGAATTTTTGTTTGAATTCTTTTAGTGTTAGGCGATCGAGTTATGATGCCACTTACCTATTTCACTTCAGACTTTTGTTGGAATTCCTTAAGTGTTAGGCAATCAGCTAATGATGCCACTTGCCTCTTTCACTTGGAATTTTTGTGCATTGACATTTACCGTAGTTGTGTATTTAAACGAAACAAATATTTTTATTTGAACATTTTTCTCTTAACATAAACAACGGGTTGTAATCCAGATACAATTCTAATGATAGTACCTTTTAAGATAGGCGGCGTTCCAGAGTTTGTTCACCTGCTTACCTCGCAGTGTTTCGAGGCTGTAAGCCCATTTACCCACGACTTTAGCTATTCGATAGGGCCCTTTCCAGTGGGGTTGCATATTTGGCACTATTCCTACCTTTCATTTTAAGACCATTTCCCCTGGGATGAAGGCTTGGTGTTTGACCCTCCTGTTATGCCCTAGCACCAAGGTCTGTTGGTACGAGGCCAGTTGAATCACTACATCTTCTTTCTTCTCGTCTATCAGATCGAGGTTTTGTTCTAGTGTACGATCATTCCAGATGAGTTTCATTCAGTGCTTTTAAGTATGGGCATGACATGCTCAGTCGAGATTACTACTTCTAACCCATAAGCCATGGCTAATGGGCTCTCTCTAGTTGGTCTCATTGGGGTGGTACGGTAGGCCCACAACACCTTTGGGAGTTCTTCCAACCAATTCCCTTTTTCTTTTTCCAATCTCTTTTTGATACAATTAAAGATTGTTCGGTTTGTGATCTCGGCTTGGCCATTTCCTTGTGGGTGGCATACCGATGCCAACTTCTGGTTGATTCCATACTCATCGAGTAGCTCTTTGACATGTTGATTGTCCAAATTCATGCCATTATCCATTACGATCGATCGGGGGACTCCGAATTTGCAGATAAGGTTATTCCAAATAAAGCGTACCACCTGAGCGTGGGTCATAGATGTGTAAGTCTCGGCCTCTACCCACTTGATGAAGTAGTCTGTTGCCAGGAGAACGTACTTGTTCTGTGATCGGGTAGGTGGGATTGGTCCCACGACATCCATCCCTCACTGAGCAAACGACCATGGACTTGCCATTAAATACAAGTCCTCTAGGGGCTGATGTATGAGCGGGCTGTACCTTTGACAATTATCACATCTTCTAGAGAACTTCTCTGCATCC